TCTATCTATCTATCTATCTATCTATCTATCTATCTATCTATCTATCTATCTATCTGTCTATCTATCTATCTACCTATCTACCTACCTACCTACCTATCTACCTATCTACCTAATCAATCATCTGTTTTTGGCACAGAATGCCTCACTGAACCTGGAGTGTGTCATTTCAATTAGCCTAGCTACTGGGTAAACCTCAGGGATCTTCTGCTTCCTTGGTGCTGGATCCCAGGCATGTACTGCCGTACCTAACTTTTTATGTATGTCCTAGGGCTCACACTCAGATCCCTATGCTTGCAAGGTGAACAGTTCACCGACAGAGTCATCTCTCTAGCCCCTCATTACCATTTATACAAATAAGATTGTTGGGGTTATAGATTTCCCATGAGCATTTGAAAAGCATAATGGAAGTAATTAGACTTTAGGTCTCCTGTGTCCTGGAGCAAATGTTCATTTGTTTTTGATGGTAAAGGTGGGATCGGGCAGGATAAATTGGCACGGAGTAGAGAGGCTGACAGATGAATGGATAGACAAAATATTTATTCAAATGTATACGTACATATTTGTGTGTGAATTTTACTCAGCCTGAGCCATGACATTCTGACACATACTACAATATCGATAAATTCTAAGTACACTATACTGAGTGAAATGCCAGCCGTAGAAGAACACTTTGATATCATTTACGTAAGAGACTTGCAGTCAAACTCCTAGAGACGGAAAGTGGAATGACAGTTGTCAGGGTGTGAGGGGAGGAAAGATGTCAGGAAAGTGCTTGGCAGCGAGAGAGTTTCTGTCTGATCGCATGCAAGGTCACAGCGATGGGTGGTGGGAGGAGTCACACGTGCAAATGTTCTCTCTTGAAAAAGACCTTGTTCTGTTTGTGCACGTGTCTGTGTCTTAAGTCTGCGTGTACATACACTGTGAGGTACATGGGAGGGCAGAGGACAGCTTGTAGAAGTTGGTTCTTTCCTTCCACCATATGGGTCCTGGGGGCTAAACTCTAAAGGTCAGGCTTAGTGGTACACACTCATCTGCTGAGCCATCTATCCAGTCTGACATAGTAATAGCAACAGCAATAATAATAATAATAATAGTAATAATAATAATAATAATAATAAAACTGTCTACTCTTTGTTCTCCTTCTTGAAAAAGGCCATGTACTGTCTCTTTAAAGTTAAAAAATATGGAACACTCCTCAGATTTTCATGTTATCCTTGTACGGGGAGTTTGATAATCCTTTCTTTCTTGTTTCTGTTTTAGTGTATGTGCTGCCAAAGCTCAGACTCAAGAGATCTGCCTGCCTCTGCCTTCTGAGTGCTGGGATTGAAGACATGTGTCACTACCACCCAGCCTATGTTTTTTTTTCCCAAGGCAGAGTTTCTCTGTAGCTTTGAAGTCAGTCCTGGAACTTGCTTTGTAGATCAAGCTGGCCTTGAACTCATGGGGATTTACCTGCCTCTGCCTTCTGAAGTGCTGATATTAAAGGTGTGTGCCACTACCACCCAGCTCTGTGTTTAATTTTTAAAAAGGTGTTACTTAGCTCACCTTGGATTAGAACTCGTTATATAGTTTATATGGCCTTTGACTTACAATCATCTGTCTCAGGCTTGAAAGTGCTGGGGTTTTGGGATGCACCACCATTTCTGGTTCATGGCGGTTTTAGTTTTTTGATTCTCTGATATTCTCTCTCTCTCTTTCCCCCTGTGTGTGTGTGTGTGTGTGTGTGTGTGTGTGTGTGTGTGTGTGTGTTGTGTGCTTGAGCCAGGATCTCATGTAGCCATGTAGCCCATCTCAAACTTTCTATGTAGCCAAGGATGACCCTGAATTTTATGGTGTGGTTGTAGGTTGCATGCATGTTTGTGGAGGTCAGCGGGGAGAAACCTTGGGTGTTGTTATTCTGATACAGGCATTGTCTGCCTTTTTTTGTTTGTTTGTTTGTTTGTTTCTTAAAGATGTGGTCTCAAACTTACCTGGGACCAGTGTCTCTGTTTCCCTGGTGATGATGTTATAAGCATGAGTCTTTGTGGGTTTTTTTTCAAATGTGGGTTCTGGGGATTAGATTTAGGGGCTCATAGTTGCAAGGAAAGCATTTCAATTTTCTCAGTCTGACCTTGAAATTCTCATCCTCTCACCTCCCCTTTGAGTGCTGGGGTTACAGATATGCATTGCCATGTCCTGTGTGTGCTGGGATTACAGGTATGCATGACCATGTCCTGTGTGTGTAGTGTTGAGGCTCTAAACCAGCACTTCAGTATACTGGGCAAGCACTGAGCTGCATCCCTAGCCTTGATCAGTTTATGTGGTGTCGAGGATTGCACCTTGCCCTTCATGCCTTCTAGATGAGCGCTGTATCAGCTGAGCCCCAGCTCAAGCCCCAGCTAAACTTCATCCCCAGGCCTCATTCTCCCTCACCCACAGCAATGAATTGTACTCACAATAAGCATGAGGAAGATCCTAGGCTTTATTATAAGTCCAGATTGTATGTGACCACAGTTTTCTCCAGAGAAGGGAGGTGGTTCTGTCTGATTTCTGGGTTGGTGGATTACCCAAGTATCCTCTTTCATCAAAATGTTCTTCCTTATTGCTGACCACTTTGTAGTTGTGCTAACATCAAGCAATGGCCTCTCTCATGCCAGCAGACAAGTGGCTGTTTGGCGGCACAGTGTACAAACTCCTCTAGATAGCTCTTGTTTTTGTGTGACCTCCTGGCTTGTTTTTGTACATGTATAACTGCTGGACTAGAAAAATACTTAGATTTTTAAGGAAGCATTCTCATGGTTCAGAGCAACATTTTTGTTCTGTCTCATAGGAAACAGAAGTTTGAGTGTTTTATACTCACAAAATCAGGTTTTATAGTTTCAAAGTAAACGTATCAAAATGAGGTATCATAAAGCTATAGTGTGAATTGGGGGGAGAGGGAGCAATTGCTCAGTTGCTCAGAAGACCAAGCCCACATATGTACGAGAGAGCAATTAAGAGGCCAACCATGAGAGTTGCTTTGAAAGTGCATTTAAAACAAGATGAAAGATCTCTGGACCTTTGAAAATGTCCCAGAAACAATGAAAACAAGAGCTTTCTCCTTTTTATCAGACTTCTGACTCATAAACCCACTTGAAAGGTCCATATTTACTTTATATAACACACACGCACATATGTATAAGCCATATGTATCCCTTCACACTTAGACCATTTATGTTCAGTTTTTTTCGAATCTCAGAAGTTAGGCATTGTGGTACAAGCTTATAAACCCAGTACTCAGAAGGTAGAGGCAGGAAGATCATCTTGAGCTACATAGTGAGACACTATTCAAAAACCAAAGACTGGGGATAGAGCTCAGTGGTAGAGTACTTGCCTAGTATGTACAAGGCTCTGGATTTAACCTCCAGCATTGCCAAAGGAAAAAGTTCTAGAAGTAGTCTTTCACAAAAATGGTATAAAAACAGGTGCGGAAAGTTGAGTGACATGGAAGGTAAATTGAAAAGTAAATTTCCTGAAGTTTCTATGATTCTCATTTGACCGTCAGAATCAAATGAAGCCCTTCAAATTGAAGCCCTTCATATCATAGAGACATTATCTTTAAAAGGATAACTTAGCACAATATATTAGTAATATTAAAAATATTAGTAGAACATAGAATTTTACTGATCCGTTTGGCACAGCCTGCAACTTCCCTGAGTATTAAGTTGAGAGGTATCTTAGAGGACCCTTTTTGTAGGTGGCTAAGTTGAAAGTGATGACTCCACACCCCGGGACTGCTTACTGGTCTTATCTGAGGATAGGGAGGTTGATATCAGATGGTTCTGTCATCATCATCATCTGGTTGCTAAGTGACCGTGGGGCGTGGTGTTAACCTTTATAGTTTCCTTCAAAATTGTCTAATCATGATTGCTCACACTGCAAAAGGTTCTGTGAAACACCCCAGTTCCGTTTCTGTAGTAAATCAGGGTGCACCTATAGCCCAGCAGAAACTTGGGCAACTTGGCAGCTCGGAGGGTGACAGAAGGAGGGCCACAGAGCCATACTTCCTGAGAGCAGCTTGCTCTGAAGAGCCCTGCTTCCCACTCCCAGCTAGACTGTGTTTTTTCTAAGACTTTCTAACAATGCACAATTCAATTTTAGTACTCAGCGTTTTGCAATTACCCACTCATTTCATGGTTGCCAGTTGGGCCCACCTCCACACAAGACTGAGAGCTTGAGGGATGTGAACTGCTATGCTTGTTTTGAGTTCTAGCTTTCTAGTCCAGGGCCTGGCATGCTGATGTGTTCAGCAAGTATTACCGAGTATGTGGAAGTTTCCCTTCTTTGTACTTCTACTAACCTTGCTGACATAAACTGAGGTAGGTATGAGATTGTCATTTCGGGGAGGGGCTATGCCAGTTCAGAATGTTCTTGAAATAGGTAGGTATCATGCCTGCCACAGAGGCAAAAAGATGAACCAGGTGGGAAAAGTTACATAAACCAGAGAGGCAGGAGACTTTCTTGCTCTAGAGGCAAGCATCTCTGCGATGTGGATAACTTGGTTTTGCTACCTGAAATGTGATTTTGTTCGAATGTTTTATGGCTTTGAATTTTGTATTCCTCACCCTCTGCTCATATCTTCATTCTCTCAGGATAAAAGTCCCTTAAGATTAGACATGACAATCTGTTGCTCATTGTTAGGACAAAATACGTGACAGAAACAGTGTCAGGGAGGGAAGGTTTGTTTTGAGTCACGGCTTCAGTCCATCATGGCAGCAAAGGTGAGCGGCATAAGCATGAGGCAGTGGCTGGTTGTTCACACTGTGGCTGACCAGGAAGCAGAGAGCTAGACCTACATGGGGGCTGGGCTCTAACCGTCAAAGGATAGGCTCTAATTCTACTTCTGCCAGCCAGGCCCCATCCCTCAGAGGTTTCATAGTCATTGTTCCCCCAACAACCCCTAACACAAAGAGCATCATCAACCGTAGAACAAGAATTCAAAACGCTAGCACAGCTGTGAGACCATTCCAGACATGGTAGTTAAAAGAAACAACCATTCTGAGTTTTCAGAAAACATTTTATGGAGAGACATAAATCATGTTAGGAGAAGCATAATTGCGAGAGCGGTGTTTTATAGTCGATAGGAATTTCAGATCCTCTGACTGCCATAGATGAATTATAAAATTGGTCAGCTGTATGTAAAGAAAGGGCTGCGGAGAAAAGGATGAGTCAGCCAAGTTAAAAAGAAGAGCAGAGCAAGTCCTTACGATGTCATGGAGTGCTGTAATAAGCCTTTTGTATTTGGAGGAGACAGACACGGAGTGCTCAAGTGATCGAGGGCCAGTGGTAAAGGTCAGATTACACAAGCAAGAAGACACAGCTAGGCTTTCATACCATGCAGTGTCCCTCAGGTGCTGTAACTCCCAGGTGAGCCGTCCTGGGAGGTCAACAGTGAAGCATGCCGCATGATTTGTGTTTGCTACCATGGGTCTTCAGGTCTTTAGTCTGCTATTTTGTTTTAAGTTAAGTTTTATGTGTATGGGTATTTTGCCTCCATGCTTGTGTGTGTACCATATGTCTGCCTGGTGCTGGCTGAGGTCAAAGATGGTGTCAGATCCCCTGGAAATGGAGTTACAGATATTTGTGAGCCACCATGTGAGTGCTAGGAATCAAACCCATGTCCTCTGGAGGAGCTGCAAGTGCTCTTAACCACTGGGCCCTTGCTGCTATTTGAAACAAAAACAAAAGTACAAAAACCTGTCTTCAGTGTCACCTTAAATGAATTTATCTGAGATCAGAATGATTCCACTGCAAATGACTGAAGTTTCTAGAAAAAAGGGCCACACTTACTACTACTAATAAAAAAAGGTTGAATATTATATTAGTCATTGCCCCATTCTTCTGATTAGAGAATTGAGGAAGCTAAAAGAGGAAAAGGTTTGTTTAGTGCCTGGACACTAGTATGTTGTTCTGTAGTAAGTGCACCATGATGGTGAGAGTGGAGAACAAAATTGCTCACCTAGTGACAGCCAGGGAGAGAGGTTGGAGAGGGGGGAGAGAAAGGGAGAGAAAGAAAGGGAGGAAAAGAGGGAGGGAATGAGAAAGGGAAGAGGAGAGCACACACACTCATATAAAAGCACATACTACTGGCCTAACTTCCTTCTGGGACCCATTTCCAAAAGATTCTACTGCCTCCTAGTAGCACCACAGACTCTGACTGTTGTTTTAACATAAGAACCCTAGGGAGATTGTAAAAGGAGCAGCGGGCTACGTTCCTGCCTGACTTGCGGCTAGCTTTACCTGAAATAATTACACGGAAACTGTATTCTTTTAAACACTGCCTGGCCCATTAGTTCTAGCCTCTTATTGGCTAACTCTCATATCTTGACTCAACCCATTTCTAATAATCTGTGTATCACCACCAGGTCGTGACTTACTGGGAAAGATTCAGCATGTCTGACCTGGCAGCTTCATGGCAGGCGGCTCTCTGCCTCTGCCTGACTCTGCTTCTTTCTCCCAGCATTCTGTTCTGACCTATCAGGCCAAGCAGTTTATTAATTAATCAATGAAAGCAACACATAGAAAGAAGACCCACCTACATCAGAGATATTTAAGATCTGAACCATAAGGCTGGGTGGAGGTAGCACATGCCTTTAATTCCAGCACTCAGAAGGCAGAGGCAGGCAGATTTCAGAGTTTGAGGCCAGCCTGGACTACAGAGTGAGTTCTAGGAAAGCTGGGCTATATAGAGAAACCCTATCCTGAAGAAAAAAAGATCTGAGCCATTAAAAAAATCATTTACTAAGCCTATCTTAGTTCTTAGAGATTCTTATAATCACAGGACACATTTAATTTAATATATTGGGCCATAACCAGGTAGTAATGGTGCACACTTTAAATCCCAGTACTCAGAAGGCAGAGGCAGGCATATCTTTGAGTTCAAAAACAGCCAGGGGTACACAGAGAAACGCTGTCTCAAAACAACAACAACAACAACATTTATGCCAAACACACCTTTCCCTGATGGTATACCAAATATTATTAGGAAGCTTAAAAACATTTATCTATGGGCTAAAGATGGCTCTGTGGGTAAAGTGCCTTCTGCACAAGATGAGGACCTGAATTCAGATTCCCAGCCTTGAGAGAGTGTATGTAAGCCTAGTGTGTGTGTGTGTGTGTGTGTGTGTGTGTGTGTGTGTGAGAGAGAGAGAGAGAGAGAGAGAGAGAGAGAGAGAGAGAGAGAGAGAGATCACTGAGCTTGCTGGTCAGCCTGATCTATCTAACTCATGTGTACTGGACTCAGTACATGACAGACCCAGTCTCAAAAAAAAAAAAAAAAGAGAATGATAGGGAGGACAAAGTCAATGGCTTCCACAAACACGCACACATACATATGCACTCACAAAAATCTGTCAAAATATTTAATTACAAGATAGACCATTAGCTCTACAGGGGGGCTACAGCGGTTCTATGTCTTGTGTAAATCCAAGTCTCTTTCTCTGTTTTTTTTTTCACATTGTGTTTTGAAACTGAAAAGCAAACATGAAGCTAGGTGTGGTAGCACCTGCTTGTGATCCTTGTGTTTGTGAGGCGTAGGTGGGATGATTGTGAGTTCAAGGCCAGCTTAGCCTAAATAGCAAGAATTGATAAAAAGGAGAGGAGGGCTAGAGGGAGGAGGGGAAAGGGAGGGGGAGGTAAGGGAAGAGTTGGGGGGATGGGAGCTATTGCTTAAGAAACAAGCCCCTCGCCTGGATATTTGGAAAGTAATCCAGTCACGATTTCTGGTGATATAACAGAAACCCAGGTTAGACACCCAAGGTGAGCAAGTAAGAGAACAGCAGATATGTGACTCTTGAATATCACTGATTTCATTTCAAAACTACATTGGAAAGGATATTGGCTCATATTTAACTTTTTGTATTAACTGTGCCTTTTTCTATTCCCATCACGGCTGAGGTTTTAATGTACAGTAGTGATATCCTAGTAAGGGGGCTGTCCCAGGAGCATATCTGAACTTCTGCTTAGTATATTTTACTCTTGCAGCTTTCTTTCCTCCTGATTTGTAATTCAAGAGGCTGAGTGGAGAGACAGCAAAGCTGCTTGGATGGCTAAAACAACTAGGAGCTGGGATACCACCTTCTATGAAAAGGTTTGCTATCAAACTTGCTTTTCATTTCATTATGCTGTGCTTTGCTTTCTCCCCAAGCTTCCTAAATGTAAATAACTCTTCCATGAGCAGTTTGTGATTATCGAGTAGTTGAATGTGAGAATAATTTAGTTTTTCTAGGTGAGCTGCTCAGGCAGAAAGCAAAATTTGTTAGGTTTCTCTTAGGTGTCAGTTGACCCCTAATACTTCAGATCCTATCAGATGTATCATTGCTTCTTGTTTATATGACACATTTTGAGGTCTTGGAGCTGTGATTAGCCAAGTTTATTCTACTGTTAGGGCATGGTTTTCTGTATTCTTTGTCTTCAGAAATGATGTACGCCCATTTACACACTCCTGTTCCTCACATTTCCCTTTTACTTAAAAAAAGATGAAGACTGTTTTGGTATGGAAAAGTTTATTGGACTTCAAAGAGGTGATGTAATACAGTCATTTGCACTCACTGCCATAGTTCCTTTCATGTATGTTGGACCAAGACTACTAGACGGTTGAGTTCAGTTTAATAAGGCATGGTCTTTTGGTTTTACACCCAACAAGGAGATGTCAGGGAATATACTAGAATGAGAGATTACAAAGTATACTCTCATATTTGGCCATGAATTTTTGTTGTTATATTCCATGCACATGAGGCAACAAAATACCTTTATTAAGGAAAGATGGCAAGTAGACATTCTTTAGCACTTAACATGTTTGTGGGTAAGAAATGATTTACTTCTCATCTTTGCGACACTTTCATAAATGAAAAATCTCTTTAGTATAATAAAATTAATGGAAAAAATTCTTAAAATAAAATTAATGTACAGAATCTCTGGCGCTACCCCATGAAAAGCATGTTCCTTCAAACCCAAGAAGGTATGAGTAGCAGGCCCAGGAAATGTCATTCTCTAGTTGTAGTTGTGTAGCAGTAGGAAGCTGAGCCACAGGAAACCCTCATGACCCTTCAGTTTGGAAACATAGTTAGGTTTCTTCCTGCTATAAATGATCAAAGAAACATCCGGCTAACTCTCCTGGACCTGAGCTCACTTTGGGTGACAGGTCCAACATCTGTTAGCTCAAGGAAATCTGACAGGGGCTAACTTGTGGCCTTCGTTGTCGAACAGGGTGTCATTTTCCATGTTTCGTTGGGTGCTCCAGCAGCATCAGTTTCCAACAAAAGGCAGAGGTTTCAGCCCACAATGGCTTCACAAAAGGAAACGTCTGACAGCAGCTCCTCAGCTTGGGAATCCTGGGGACTGGGAGTAGCGCTGGGATCCCTTTCCCCCAGATTCTCTGCTTTACAGCTACTGGGTGGCTTTTGAGTTGGGAGTCAGGCTCTCCGGTCCCAGATGGAAATCATTAATAAGACAGTCAAGCCCGTAACAAGAAGGGAAGCCTTGGTCTACTGGATAGACCTGGGTCTGAGTGTGTCTGGACT